CAACATTCCCCGGTAATGGTCGGGTTATACCTCGGGTAACACAGGTGCCCTCGGCTACGGAGGGAGAGATCGCGCAACGAAAGAACTGCGGGGCTGACTTACGACTCTCTCGGTCCCTCCCCTCCCCCCTCGGCTACACCGCCCGATACATCCATCTATCTGTTCGTTGGACGATTCCGGTGCCGATTCCGGCCATCAAAAACGGGGAATGCTACTAGTAGCCTTCGTTCGAAAGAAGGGGGAAGGAAAGAAGGGTGTGTTACCGAAGGTGGAACGAAGGGAACGAAGGGATTTGCTTTCTCGGCAGATGATGGTATAGGAACAAAGGAGTGGATGGAATGAAAGGAAGCTTCGTTCGAAGATTTTTTTCTCTTTTTTTTTATTTTTTTATTACGCGTCAATGGAAACGTATAAGATTCTGAATCCGGAAAGAAAATGATTAGAGAAGAAAGAAGGATGATGTAATCGAAGATTAAGAAAGGTATGCTTGTTATCTTCAATCTTGTGAATAGAAGAAAAATCCTTCTTTAAAACACATCTGTATTATGGAATAGTGCATTACGTAAATGCCGGCATTCTTGTGCTATAAAATAAAGAAAAATCGAGGAGAAGGAAGGAACGCAAACGCCTTTTGTTGTTGGCAGAGGTTGGCATCCTCGTAATAAAAGTGGTATTCGCAGTATTGTCGAAAGGCCTGGAACGACGATAATTCGAGGTACATTTTTCATGGGTTTCGGGCCGCCTTACAATGCCCGCTCGAACTTTTCTTTTTAATGACGCTGCTGACTCTCTCTTTCTCTCCCTCTCTCCCTCTCTCTCTCTCTCCCTCTCTGTCGGCCTGTAAGAAATACGATGTTCTGACCTTCTTAGGTCGCCACCCCCAACCTTCTCCTTCCCCTTTTCTTCGTCCTTCGATTCCTTCTCTTCCTTCTTCCCTCCTCTTTCACCCTCCCCTTTCCGCTTCTTCTTTCTCGTCCCTTCTCCGCCTTGCACTCTATTCTCCTTATTCTCCTCGCTGTTTTTCTTCCCTCCGTCTTTCCCTTTTCTTCCTCCCTCTCCTCCTCTCCTTCTTCTTCTCCTTCTCCTTCTCCTTCTCCTTCTTCTTCTTCTTCTTCTTCTTTTACCGTTCGAAGGAAGGCAACAGAAAGGAAAGCGGGAGAGACGTCGGGGCCCGGGTTGGGCCTCTTCACCGCGGAGAGTGCATTACATCCCCCCGGCTCCTTCTTCTTTCATCCTTGGCCGGCTCCACCGCGGAATGTGGCTCGATCCGCTCCTTCGTGTCTGAAAGGCAGCATGCCACACGTGGCACCGGACGTCGACGAGGTGGACGGCTCAGTGTATCTCGGGCAAATCGAAATATGCTAAATACAGGGTGTCCGAGAATCCTCGACTTTCTACTCGCTCCGATGTAGGGAAACCAAAAGAGAGGAAGAAGAAGAGAGAGAGAGAGAGAGGCGGATAAAGAGGAGAGCGAAGGAACGCTCGTTGCACGGTGGATATAGAAAGAGGAGGAAGGAGAGAAAGAGACGGGGAAGGGGTAAGAGAAGGGTGGGGAGAAAGAGAGAGAGAAAGAAAGCCGAGGGAAGAATCGAGGCGCGGCTGTTCGAACACGAACGACACTACCCGGACCGGCTTCACGACGTGGAGTTTTATTGAGGAGCAGATGTTTGAAACGTAACCTATAATGATTCCACACTGTATATATACGTACGAAACTCAGCTATATATATGTGTATATATATATATATATATATATATACGCTCCCTCGTTTATGGTTTTACCGATGAACCAGCATCACGATAACATATTTTATTGCGGCTCCGTCGATAATGGTAGTTAGGATCATCTAAACGGGATGAACACTTTCGGTCACTGACATCTCCCTCACGGTATCCTTTTATAAATCGTGGCGGGGTGAAACGCGTTCCGTGAAAATTTCTCTCGCGACGATTTCACCGTGAAACGCACATCAAATCCCTGTTCGATCAAAATCAGTCGCAGTTCGAGAATCGTTCCGATGAAACGACGATTTTAGATCCTCGGGTTTCTTCGAATCTAGGTTAGGTTTCGCGCGTTAAATCGTGCGCGTAATTCAACATAGCATCACGCGTAGCGTGTCGACTCAACGAGGTTAACCTTCACGTTAGCACATTCCATCCCACGTGCGCCATAATGTGCGTACGTAAATATATCTATAAGGTAAGATCTTTAATATCCAGAGTTATTACGAAGATTTCGAAGGATGGAAAAAAATTATTTTTACAGAAATCTTCTATCTATATTATATTATATTACGAAATATAGGAGAAACATTACTCTTTCCCCTTGTGATCCCTCGACATTATCAACGTTCTCTTCCCCTATCTCTCGACGACGTTTCAAGAGTGAGTGGTAAAGCAAGGGTTCGGGATAGCGCCTACTAGCGCACGATCGTGGGGCCCAGTTGCAGGTTCCAGATCGAGTTCCAGTTCGGAAAGCGCGTCGCGTTGTCGCGCCATGAGGGTCTGGGAGCCGAGTGTCTGGCCCCATGTGGGCAGGACAGGTTTGGGGGCCCTCTCATTCACGAACATCTCCTCTCCGCCGACAATCTCTTTCATTGTTTCGCTCGTTTAGGGGTATCGGCATTTCGGACCATCAGCCGTGCAAAAAGTCGAGCGAGGAGAATGAGTCCCCGGGCTCCACGCAACGACCATATCGGGGCACCGTGGACGCGTATGTGCGGCCCTTGTACGGGCCCATTCGGCCCGATCCCAGGTCCCAGAATGTCGCGGCCCATCCCACCCCGCCGGACCAACCTTGTATACGCTCCGCGATTATAATAAAGGAACACCGTCGCTACCGATAAAATTAATTTGTCACCCGGCCAGCCATGCCACCGGCCATTGCCATTTCGAGAAACTCCATCTCCATCCCAGGGAGAAAATTTTAAGGGGATTTTATTTCGAGGATTTGTCTTTTTTTTTTAATTCGCATTCTGGATTATGTATTTATATGTGTTATACAGACGAGGAAATTAATTAATAATGTGTTAACCGATAGATCGATGCTTTGCATTAATCTTGGAATTGGAAATAATTGGAAAGTATTTGGAGAAATGATAAGAGATATTTATATCTTTTGTAATTATATTGATACAGTATAACTTTTCTTTTAATTGGCATTCTGGATTATGTATTTATATGTGTGTTACACAGACGAGGAAATTAATTAATAATGTGTTAATTGCTAGATCGATGCTTTGCATTAATCTTGGAATTAATTGGAAATAATTGGAAAGTATTTGGAGAAATGATAAGAGATATTTATATCTTTTGTAATTATATTGATACAGTATAACTTTTCTTTTAATTGGCATTCTGGATTATGTATTTATATGTGTGTTATACAGACGAGGAAATTAATTAATAATGTGTTAATTGGTAGATCGATGCTTTGCATTAATCTTGGAATTAATTGGAAATAATTGGAAAGTATTTGGAGAAATGATAAGAGATATTTATATCTTTTGTAATTATATTGATACAGTATAACATTTCATCTGGTCGAGCATGAAATGATATAAATAAGAGGAATCAGAAAAATCGCATGAAAAATAAAATACTTGATTTAATTATCATCATAATTATTAATAATTATTATTTCTGTGTTTCAGACGGCGAGTATCTGTTCGTCGATCCCGAGAATAAATTAAGCAAATACGCGCCGAAAAACTGGCGGAGCTCTCATACATACGTAAGTAGCGGATTTCTTAAAATATTTTCGTCGTTTAACTTTTAAACAATTTCTGGTAGATCGTGAAAATATCATCTATTTTTTTTTCCCCCCTTCCAAAATATTTGTTTCGAATTCGCTGTTGTTGTATTCTCTGACGAAATGCAATACGAAGCGTGAATTACAGAAAAATTCGATTATCACTTGGTCGAGGCCTCTTGTATAATGCATACTTAAGGAATTCAAAGGTTTAGATGATTCAGATGTGTATTGGGCGTATCGTCGACTAAATGTGATACGTTCTTACGGAGGAATTATGCGCCAGCGTTTCAAAAACCAGACGAGGTTTCACGAAAGAAAAAGAAGCTTATCGTAGAATGTTGTTCCGTTTAATTCCTCATTCTACGGAATTAGCCCCATATCTTTCAATAAAAATCATCGTTATTTAATCCTTTTTATTAATCCTAGTGTCATCTGCGCGAGTAATATTCCTTTCATTGTAATGTTTGATAACGTTTTTATAGTCATCGTTAATGTTTTCACCCGTATCAAAATAATGTAAGCTCGTAGTCTCTAAACGAGTTTCTTATCGTACTCATCATTTTTTATTAGGAGCCGAAACGGGGCAGTCAAATACAATTTTAAAGATAGGGGACATGGTCGACGCGTTAGATAACGTGAATTGCATTAACATAAACAGTTTTTTTTCTTTTCTTTTCTTTTTTTTTTTATTCTCTCATCAATAGTTAAATCAATTAAATAAATGCTTATGAATTATATCGAAATTTGAGACAATAATTTATGAAATCCTGATATCAACCTCTTAAAGAGTTTAACTTACTTGATTCTTATTAATACATATTTTCGTATGCTCGTCGTAGTTGGTGAAAAAAAATAAGCTCGTAGTCATTAACCGAATAAAATACCGCCATAAAGTTTCATCAATCAGACCAGAACATATATATATATATATATATA